GGGGGGTGAGGGTCCTCGGACTGCCCACCACGTTCAGGGGAGGTCAGGGAAAAGGGGGTCAAGGAGAACGTTCAGCAGGACCCGCGCCCCTGTTAGTCTTTGGCCCCCGCTTCAGTTTGAACTCTCTGAATGTCCTCGTTTTTCTATTTGGAAATGAAAAGCTTGCGTGAAGTGGAGTGAGAACGCAAGAGAGTAGAAGAGCAAAGCGTTTGGGGTGCCGACTGGGCACACCGTGTTCCCTTAGGTTGGTGCCGCGTGCGTCAGTCAGCACCTCCCCCTTCCGTCTCACACCCCCGCCTACCCCCACCCCACCCCGTGGCTCCAGGTCTGGGGCGAGCTTTCCAGGATCAGAAGGCCAAAGGTAGCAATAGCCCTTGAGCCTCAAGGAATAAGAGAAACAGTTTCTCCTCGAGTTGTTGTTTTGCGTGTCCTTTGGTTAGAGGGATGCGGAGGCCACATTCTTTTAGAAGGGTGGGATCGTGGGGGGGGGGGGTGTCGAAGACCTTTAAATGTCTTGTCCAACAGGACAGGTCCCAATTCTAAAACAAAATCGCATTGCTTTTTCTTTCTTTTTTTTTTCCTGACAATGTTGCATTTGCAAACGGATTCTAAGAAATGAGGCCCTTTGTTTTACAAACGTTTTTAAAGCTGAGAGGGATAAATGGAAATCGTATTCATTTGCATTCTCCTCAGAGAAAGATGGGGCTCTGGGCACCTCTCAAACCCCACAGCGCAGCGGGACTGGGCCTGAGGGCAGTGGGATTGTTTTGCTTTTTCTGGTTTGGGTTGGGTTTGCATTCTCATTATCAACCCCGCCAAGTGCAGAACCTTATTTCTTCCTCGTTGGTTTATCCCATCAGCTTCCTAATCATATTTCGTGGTAGGTGGAATGAGGGGTGAAAAGAAATGGCCTGGGGATTGGAGAGGGTCCCCACCCTCCACTCGTGGTCTCTATTTCTTTATTATCCAATTTGGGCAGTTTTCCTACAGGTTAGCAATTCGAAACCGTGAGCGGCTCGGTAAGGCTTACTACTCCCTGAAAGAGTTACAGTCTCAAACTCACAGAGACAGTTCTACCCTGTCCTTCAAGGGTCACTATAGGTCAGAATCGACTGCATGGCAGGCTCTGGTTTGTGGTTTTGGACAGTGTGGGCTTCCCCTGTCCGCCACTAGGGGCCCTCAGTAACCCAACGAACTTAACCAAAGTCTGCGAGGTCCAATTTCTGCTGTCCCCACCCTTCCAGTTGCACTCTGCAGAGACAGCCGGATGGAAAGCCCACACCCTACGTATAAACTCTGTCCTTGTGGGTCATGCCGGGCAAAGGAAGCCAGCTGCAAATTCGGCCTGGATCCGGGTATTTGGTGAAGAGTTTTCCTACAGACTCCTGCACTCACCCCCACCCCCGAAACACACACATACCCAAACTCACTGCCATCCAATTGATTCCAACTGATGGCCACCCTATAGACTAGAGAATGACCCCTGTGGGATCCCAAGACTGTAAAACTATGGGAATAGAAAGCCTCATCTTTCTGGCTCGTAGCAGCTGGTGGTTTCAAACTGCTGCCCTTGAACTTACAGTTCACAATCCAACCTGTCACCCAATGTTTCTATTCTTTTAAAAAAAAAAGAGCTCCGAGTTGGCACAGAAAGCCTACAGTGCGAATGTCCCTCACACGGCGTTCAAACAAATGTCTTACATAGAAAAGGGTTCATTCTTTTTATTTTTTTTAATCATTTTATTGGGGGCTCACCCAACTCTTATCACAATCCATCCATCCATCCATTGTGTCAAGCACATTTGTACATTTGTTGCCGTCATCATTCTCAAAATAGTTGCTTTCTACTTGAGCCCTTGGTATCAGCTCCTCATTTTACCCCTCCCTCCCTGCCCCCGCTTCCTCATGAACCCTTGATAATTTATAAATTACTATTATTTTGTCCTATCTTACACTGTCTGACATCTTTCTTCACCCACTTTTCTGTTGTCCATCCCCCAGGGAGGGGATTATATGTAGATCCTTGTAATTGATTCCCCCTTTCTATCCCACCTTCCCTCCACCCTCCCGGTATCGCCACTCTCACCACTGGTCCTGAGGGATTCATCTGTCCTGGATTCCCTGTTTCCAGTTCCTATCTGTACCAGTGTACATCCTAAGGTCTAGCCAGATTTGTAAGGTAGAATTGGGATCATGATAGTAGGGGAGGAGGCATTTAAGAACTAGAGGAAAGTTGTATTTTTCATCGTTGTTACACTGCACCCTGACTGGCTTGTCTCCTCCCCGAGACCCTTCTGTAAGGGGATGTCCAGTTGCCTACAAATGGGCTTTGGGTCTCCTCTCCGCACTCCCCCTCATTCACATTGATATTTTTTTCTTTGATGCCTGATACCTGATCCCATCGACACCTCGGATCACACAGGCTGGTGTGCTTCTTCCACGTGGGCTTTTTTGCTTCTGAGCTAGATGGCCACTTGTTTATCTTCAAGCCTTTAAAACAGGGGTCTTCAAACTTTTTTAACTGGGGGCCAGTTCACTATCCCTCAGACTGTTGGAGGGCCAGACTATAGTTTTTAAAAAAACTATGAACAAATTCCTGTGCACACTGGACAAGTCGCCTGCTAAGCAGGACAAGCAGCAGCAGCAAAAACACCCGGCGGGCCGGAAAAATGTCCTCAGCGGGCTGCATGTGGCCCACGGGCCATAGTTTGAGGACTCCTGCTTTAAGACCTCAGACGCTATATCTTTCGATAGTCTTGATAGCTGAGCACTCTCAGCTTTCTTCAACACATTTGCTTATGCACCCTCTTTGTCTTCAGCGATCTTGTCAGGAAGGTGAGCATGATGGAATACCAGGTTAATAGAACAAAGTGTTCTTCCATTGAGGGAGTTCATTCTTTTCTTAAGGCTGTTATGCCGATCCCTGGTGGCATCGTGGTTATGCATTGGGGTTCAAACTGCAAGGCCAGCAGTTCAAAACCACCCAGCCACTCCCACTGGAGAAAGAAGGGACTTTCTACTCCTGTAAAAAATTACAGTCTTGAAACTCACAGGAGCACTTCTTCCCTGTCTTACAGGGTCGCTGTGGGTGGGCATCGACTCAATGGCAGTGAGTTTGGTTTTGATCATGCCATTGTGTGTAGATACGTAACCTAAGGTGACCAGATTTTAACATGGGTAAAGTGGGACAAAAGCGGGACACCATTGATAAAACTCATATACTGGTGAAATAGCCTCATGTCAGCCCTAGCTTGTCGTGCATTCTTTCCAAAAATCAGGACTTTTTAAAAATGCTGCGGGGCCCCAGGACAAATGGTTAAAAATCAGGACTGTCCCGCCAAAAGCGGGACGTCTGATCACCTTAAGGTAACCATTTAGAGAACCATCCCAGCTTGGTGCACATCAGATTCATTTCCCAGCCTAGCTGTCCCCTAGAGCTCTCTAGTGAGTCACTTGTCCAACGAGAAAGGAAAGCC